TGTAAGTGCGGATTTCTCCCGAATGCCCTCCCCAAGGAGACGAGTGAAACTCTTCAAGAATAGTGGGAATAAAAGTGGAAGAGCGAGGGAGTACCAACCTGTCCTTGTACCACAAGCAACTCTTCGTCACATGATAACTCGGGTGAGAAGAGCTGTTATTCAAGATCTCAGTGATCATCTTCTTAATTCCAGCATCTGCCAAAGCCTCATCAGAAAGCTTCTGCAAATCCGAACTCACAGGTGTGGACATAACCTTGCATTCCATCATACGGGATAGTGCATCCGCGACCTTATTCTCCAAACCTGGTTTGTATTGGATCTCGAAGTCAAAACCCATAAGTTTTGCCACCCATTTATGTTGTCCATCTATCAACACTCTCTGCTCAGTGAGGTATTTTAAGCTCCTCTGATCAGTTCTTACTATGAAATGACGACCCAGCAAATATTGTCGCCACTTTTGTATAGAAAAGACAATAGCCTTGAGTTCCTTTTCGTAAACAGAGAGCATTTTATCCTTCTCAGAAAATGCTTGACTAAAATAAGCAATAGGTCGACCATGTTGCATGAGTACCGCTCCCATACCTACCCCTGAAGCATCAGTTTCCACAATGAATTCCTCATCAAAATTAGGCAATGCCAATTCTGGCAGGGACATCATCACAGCCTTTAGTTCATCAAATGCCCCTTGAGCTGTCACATCCCAAGCAAATCTGTCTTTCTTAAGTAATCTAGTCAGGGGGCTGGCTAAATGACCATAATTCTTCACAAAGCGTCTATAATACCCGGTAAGACCCAAAAATCCCCTTAACCCTTTCAAGGACAAAGGAACCGGCCAATCTTTAATGGAAGCTACCTTAGAAGAATCTGTCTTTACCCCTGTTCCGGAGATCACATGGCCCAAATACTCCAACTCCTTCCTTCCAAAACTACACTTCTTGAAATTTGCCACAAAGCAATTTTTTTGCAGTACCTCCATCACTTGACATAACTGAGCCCAATGAGAAGATTCATCCGCACTGTATATGAGAATGTCATCAAAGAAGACTAGGACGAACTTACGGAGAAATGGCTTGAACACCTCATTCATTAAGGATTGGAATGTCGAAGGAGCATTCCTCAAACCAAACGGCATCACAAGGTACTCATAATGGCCCTCATGAGTCCTAAAAGCCGTCTTCTCAATGTCTTCTTTCCGCATACGGATTTGATTATATCCCGACTTTAGATCCAGCTTAGAAAAAATCGAAGCTCCTTCTAACTCATCCAGCAACTCATCTATCTCTGGTAATGGGAATTTATCAGGGATGGTCACCCTGTTCAAAGCCCGGTAGTCAACACAAAATCTCCAGCTGCCGTCTTTTTTCTTGACTAAGATCATAGGACTGGAAAAGGGGCTAGTACTGGGTCGGATCCACCCCACCAACAACATTTCCCTGAAAAATTTCTCCAACTCCTCCTTTTGGTAATAAGGGTAGCGATAAGGCTTTAGATTTGGAACACTGGCCCCTGCCTTCAGAATGATTCTGTGATCACAGGTTCTCTCCGGAGGTAAATCTGTTCGTTCCCTAAACACCTCAGGGAATTGGTGCATGACCCTTGAAGTCAACTCAATAGAGTCCTCCTCCTTGCCAACATTGGTACTCACTACCCTCAGATCCACTAAATAATTTTCCAACCCTTTTTTCATGGTCTTACTAAGCTTCTTATAAGAAATAAGCCCTCTGGACAATTGAGGATCTCCTCGAAGCTCAACAATATCTGATCCATAAGGCACCCTCAAGAAAAGCTCGCGGAAATTAGCCCTTATCTCCCCCAAACCCTCCAGCCAGGTGTAACCCAGAATGACATCCTCCCCCTCCAAGTTAAATATGAAAAAATCTTGAGTTATTGACATACCTGGGAGTTGTAATAACACTCCCTTACACGTTCCCATGCAACGTACTTGATTCCCATCACCCACCGTGACCGTGGGGGATTCGGTCTTGTTCACCAGAAGCTTCAGATCGTCAGCTACATGTGGTGCCAAGAAATTGTGTGAGGCTTCTGTGTCAATCAACACCACAACCCTCTTGCCCGCGATCGTCCCCCACAACTTCAAGGATCTACCGGACGTAAGCCCAGCAATACTGTGGAGACTCAATTGAAGGTTCACCCTTTCTTCAGACGACTCTCCGTTCCCCAAATCGAGTTCCACGTCCTCTGTGTCTCCCGTTCCGACCATCATAACATTCAAATGAGCTTGGGGGCACACGTGATCGAAGGAATATGGTCCATCGCACTTGAAACACGTGTTCCGGCGTCGTCTATCCGCAACCTCCTCCGGTGACAGCCGTCGGAAGCGAGCGCGACCACCGTTGCCGCCGTTAGAGCTCCGTCCGATTGTACCGTTGTTGCCCTCATTAGGGTTCGCAACCCCACTCGTGCCCTGATTCAGATTTGGAGTGGAAGCCCCACTTTCACTACCCTGGGTGCCATTATTTTGAGTTAACGGGCTTGTCACGTTTGGCCCACTAGTGGAGCTCCTCACATTGAAACTCGAATGACGACTAGGGAGAGCAGGCCTAGAATAGTGTGGGCCATTGCCAGCATTTGGCCCAAACCTCCCACTCTCCTGACCCAATTTCCCCCTGATCTCCTCTCTCTCCTCCACACGCTGAGCCATCGTCATCATCGTGCCCAGGTTCCTCAAATTATGCAATCTGATTTCCGCGCGAATCTCTTCACGGAGGCCATTCAGGAACGCAGCTTGCATAACATCTTCATCTGCGTGTCTCAACGGGGCTGAAAGCAACTCAAACTTTTCACGGTACTCCGCAAACGATCCCTGTTGACGAAGACACATTAAATCTTCGTAAGGATTTCCAGAAGATGATGGATGGAATCGGTCCAGAATCGCTGCACGAAAGTCAGCCCAAGAGATGGTTGGGTTCCTTTGCTCCCACCACTAGAACCAGTTGAGTGCCCTTCCTTCCAAGCATACCGACGCGGTCTCCACTTGCTCGCCGATAGGAATCTTATAGATTCGAAAAAATCGCTCGGCCCTGTACAGCCAGCCATAAGGATCATCTCCAGAGAAATAAGGAACCTCTACTCGCCTTCTCCTTTCGTATTCCCTAGCGTTTCCGTCCATGTCACCACCCACTTGGTCACCTCTCACTTCTTCCTCACCCTCCGTTGTAGAGCGTTTGCCAGGGCTCCTCGATCTTCCTCCGCCCATATGATTGAGTCGTGCTAAAATCTCCGTAAGGGTACAGTTCACCTGATGCACCGAATTTTCTAACCCTCCAATTCGCCCCGTCAAACCCACGTTGCTCTGTTCCATAGCCATCACCCTTTGTTCCATATCATCAACTCTTGTCTCCATCCTTGATCGAACCATTCAACGCACTTGCAGGATCAAGTGCTTTGATACCAATTGATGGCACCAGAAGATTAACAGATAATAAACAGGAAAATATACTAAAACTTGAATTGCAATTGAGTTCTTACAAACAGTGATTAACGCTCAACAATGAAACAGTACTCAGAATGGACTACTGACAACGGACCGCTTGAGACACCTTGAAGGAAATTACAAATACTGAACCAGTAAAATACTCAGCTACTAACAATGGTTACTCTCAACGAGGAAGAAAACCCCACTCCCCATCAAGCTACCCATACTTTTCTTACAAACTTTCTAACTAATTCCCTTACTCCCTTTTTCCTATTTAGCCACTGATTCCCTTCTCCCATTCCCCTCCCACATGGTATGCCCCATTCAACGCTTGCCACGTGTGCTCTTTTATAACAAACTCTCTTGCAGTGCTTTTCTTCTCAACAGCCAGCACTATCTGTTTCACCAAGCCTTGGCCACCCGAAGAAGCAATGGGCTGATGTTGATCACCCAACGAATCTGCCATGGCCTGCACATTTACTGTCATGTGCTGCTTGTCCGAATCTGCCACTGCAATGGGCTGATCACTATGGCCTTTATCTTTATTCTGCTTCCTCCTACGTTCATAAACCCATTTTAGGGGTCCAACATTATATGATAATGTTGTGTAATGGTTTGATATTCCAAGTTTCCATCCATACTTTCTCTGACCATCCCATGAGTCTATCGATATCGACTACCATCCATTGTGGTTAGAGCCTGGCATCTTCCATTTACTTCACCACTAACAGCCATCAATAGAAATCAAATTATTTATATATCTTTACATATATAAATTAAAATTTGAATTACTTAAAATTTTATAATTCAAACGGAACTTAATATTTATTTATTTTTTGTTGAAATATTTGACTAAATTTTTACAAAGAATAAAATAAAAATCATACTAACTTGAATTCTTAATGCACGTTACTTTTAATGAGCTTTTTAAATTTGTTTTTTACACACTTTACAAAATTTAAGTCGACTTTTATTCACATTTAAAATTCAAAATCATGAAGGTTAGCACTCCATTCTATAATTTAATAAAGTAAATATTTTCATCATACCCCTGCACGCCGCCTATCTCTTCTAATTTGTTGAGAAACATTATTTGCAAAATACCAAATAGGTACAGAAACCTCCAAAGACACGTTTTCTTAAATAAAGTTCTTCAATCAAGAAAAAATAAATAATTTAAAACAACTCTGAAAAATCTATTGAGAGATTCCTCTATGTCATCTGTGTAATATGTTAAACTCTGCAACTAACATGATGTTTTTAACAGTGGATTGACAACCAAATAAAAATAAATAAAAAATAAATAAAATAAAGGAGGCTTAGCTTTTATAATCCTTAGACAGACGTCAGCACCCTGATCATAGCGGCGATTGAGGTAAAGATCAAATGTTTTTCTCCTTCCTGAATCCATTTGGCTTTTGTGATGGTTTGATCGACTGGCAGCATTGTTCGTCATGTGCGGGTACGTTGATGAGGCGTCTTCTTTCTTCTCAAATGGTAATAGAGCGAGAATCGAAATTTTTCGATTTCCCACAGACGGCGCCAGATGTTCTGGAGTGAACATTAATGGTCTAGCAGTATAGCTAGTATTTGTATCTACGGAGCTTATGGTAAAGATGACAGACAGTGAGAAGTCCTGCACCTTAGGCCAAAGTCCGATGGGATGAACAAGGGGTGTGTGTGAGTCACCTGCGGTGGATAAGATGTGCTCTGGGCACAAGTATGTAGGTGAGTTATGAGATCATCCTCTTTGTTAGCTATAAGGGGTTATATATAGATGAATGCACTATGAGATTGTGCCCCTAGTGGGTAGTTTGCAGGTGACTTAATGGCATGATGCAATGCTCGTGGGTGGTTATTGCTAGTAGATGGGAGTTAGGAGAGAATGGTGGAATGAGATGCTCCATCTAGTGGGGATAGGAAATGGGTACCACATAAGTGGTCCACAACAAGTTAAAATTACAAAATAACCCTTAATATTTGAATCAGAACTACTGTTTGGAACTTGAACGACTCTAAGAAGGCAAGAAATTATGATGAGGGCATGTCAGTTGCTCTGAACGACATGGCAGTTGCAGTTACATCACTATCCAATAAAACAAAGAAAGAATATAATTTTTCCATACATAATGTTATCCCCAACATGTTTGAAGCTAGAGGAGTTATTCTTTCTTTATCTTGTAGATATTGATGAGTAGCGATAAATTTGAAAACTAAATTTCTTTTAGTTTAAAATAATAAAATGTAAAGTTGGGGATGAACGAGAGAAAGATTGTAAAGTTGTGTGTTAAATGGAACTTCAAGACATATAGCATTAGACAATGACACCAGAGGAACTCTCTCCTCAGCAAGTCTCTGACGAGCCTCCGTCGACAACCTCCTCCCTCTAGTACTCACCACATCAACACAACCAAATTCCCCAACCCGATTCCGCGACAAGGACGAGGAGGAACTATACCACATTAGAAGTGGGCATCTTAAACAGTGTTTTTTATTCATTTTTTCACACAATCATGAAAGCTTCATGAAAGATGGACAACTAACTTTGGTAGGAAAATTTTGTAATCTCATTTATCAAAAATGCACAACATAGAAACTCAATCTCAGATGTCTGGACTACTAAGTCTTCAGGGGGCGTTTTGTACAGGAGAAAAAAAAATTTGTTCGGGAATCTCGATTTTCAAAAATATAATTTTTACATTCAGTTTACAATAATATCCGAAAATTAAAAATTTAGAAAAATTCAGTTTCTCGAAAATCCTAAAAAATAACATGTAACAAATGCCCCTTAATATTTATTAGATGCTGCACGTGACAGTCTCGTCATATTACCCCCTAACGTGTCCCAATTTCATTACGTTGATAGAAAGAGAAAAAAAAGTGACACCAAAAACAATAATAATAAAGCTTGGATGAAATCCTAATTATGAAAGCCAGGATCAGTGTTATAAAAATTGGCTCCATCCGACCGGGCGGATAGGTTCAACTGGAAATTGATTATTAATCGGTCTGGTTCAATTAAGTATTCAATTAAGTAATCGATCATATATATAACCCACTCAAGAATAATAAATCGGGTGGAATCTGTGTTAACCAAGTACTGGTTTTATAGTTGTATCGGTTTTTAAAAAAATTCTCTAAGCCAAAATTACTTTGATAAAATATTTTACCACAGTTGTATTCTTGTAATTTAAAATTAAAACTTAAAGAAAAGAGAATAAAATACTAACTACCAATTTCTTTTTAAGAGTTAATTCAACCATAACTACATCTTTAAGGATAGTTGATTCTTTCGGTATACCCACAAGTTTAGGCTCTTTGAGCCAGTTATAGAATTAACCAGAAGTGCAGAATGATTCAAAAATGAAGATATTTAAACCCCTCTTAAAATTAATATGTGAGAATCAAATGAAAATTTTTTCTTTTTACTTTTTTTTTTTATATGCTGAGAAAACAACCCAGCAGAAAAACTACAAAACTGAAACTGTTCGAGATCTACAAACAAAAGCTAAATCAGCCATAAAAACGACTTAATCTGAAAAGGAAGAAAACAGAAAACAGACATATCAGGAACAGAAGGATAGTCCAGTGGATAATTTGCTAGCCAATCAGCACAATAATTTTCTTCTCTATATGTGTGGATAAGACGAACTCTCCAATCTTTTTGAAATCAAGCCCGTATACGAGCCACCAAATGGGGATCATGGGCTGCAACACCCTTTCTAAAAAGAATGGTGATTGCAGTTGTTGAATCAGATTCAACAATTAAATTCTTCCAGCCTTCCTCCCAAGCCATCTCAAAATCTTTGAGAATTCCCCAAAGTTCAGCATTGAGAGCATTACAATTACCTATCATGTATGAGAAACCTTTAAGCCAGTGACCCCTATCATCTCTAGCAGTTCCACCACAAGCAGCTACTCCTTGAGATCTTCTAGTAGCTCCATCAGTATTTAATTTAATCCAATTCTCTTCTGGAGGATTCCAGCTAACAAGGATTTCTGCTTTGTGTTTAACTAAGTGATGACTATAAATAAATTGAAACGCCATATGGGATTATGCGGCTGCGTTAAGAACCGAGTTCTATAAGAAGAAACAGCATTGCCATAAATTAAATTGTTCCTCCATCTCCAAGCCAACCAAACAGTAGTACCAAACACAATGCACCAAGGAGTATTATTTGTATACCTGTCCATGCAAGCTAAAAAAATTTTCCAGCCAAGTATGTAGATCATTAGTAAAAAAAGAGTTGTCAAAACTAATTGGAATTAATTCTTCCCAAAGCTTTTTAATAGTCAAGCAATCCCTTAGCAAGTGCATAGAGCTCTCGGTTTCATGCAAACAGATAGGGCAAAAATGATTACCTCTATTAAAGGAACTCAATCTATCCTTCGTTGGCAATTTATTATGAAGAACTTTCCACAAGAATAATCTAATCACTTGAGGACCTTCCCAACACCAAATCTTTTTCCAAATCACTGAATTACCATTAGGATCAGAAACATTATCTGCAAGAGTTTGGTAGATGTTCTTGACTGAAATCTGATCTGAGTTGTTTAAGTTCCATCTCATGTAATCAGCTCCATCAAGCTCATTTAGGGGTAAAATACTTTTAATTAATAACACAACATCAGCAGGAAGCCAACTAGCTAGTAATTGTAAGTCCCAATTACCCTGATCATCAACATTCTCCTTTATTCTTTTGTTACTTTCCTCCCAAGGAGTTGGATTTACAACCATGTCCATAAGCCTTTTTCCTTCATGAATCCACTTGTCTTTCCAAAATGAAATATTATTACCATTACCAATCTCCCAGTTGAGATGATTCTCTAATTTTATCCAGATAGAACAGATGTACTTCCACAATCTTGAATCACCATCTCTGCAACTGAATAAGGCACTTCCTCTTTTCTGACCACTATATTTAGCC